AAAACACATACCCTTTCTTTTTGAGCCACTCCTTTGTTCCATAAGTCGTATTTTTCTTGCAGTTCAGCCTGCTTTTTCGCCTCGCGCTCTTTCCTCTCCTTATCTTCTGGCTTTTCACGCTCTAAATCATTTATTACTCAGCCAGAAATCGACTACACAACACTGCAACACTTACTTTTTCGCACTTGCTTTTCTCGTACAGTAGTTTCTGCAAATCTGCCGCTAATGGTAGCATCCATCTCTTCGAACATCTTCAAGAGATTGACAATTAACATATGAGCTGTAGAGAAACAAACTCACAATCATAAATCAACTTACCTTACTCTCTTGTTCTCGAATTTTCTCAGATTCTTTTTTGAGAGCATCCGCTGACTGAAGCCCAGCAATCTAAAGAACTGTAGATAAGCGACCTTTGCCAGTTAGAATAAGCCCACAATTACCTTTCCATCAAGGGTCTTTTGCGACTCTTTACCCAATTTCTCAGGTGAAGCAATCCGTCTTTCGCGTCCTCTAGGTTGTTCTCGTCTTCGTGGAGGTGACTCATCTGAAATTTAACGAAATTTCAATAGACGTTTGCATCTTCTTCTGAATTACCGCTGTCACGTCTCCTTGCAGTAACAGGCGAAGAGCTTTTTTGATACTTCCTAGGCGGAGACAGGTCCGAGGAAGGACTTCTCCGTCTATTATCTATACAAAGTACTATGAATCAAGAACTCGCACAAAAACTGTGGGCTCTCCCCAAACAGCTTTGAATAAATGAACCCCAAATTTATCTTGAACAAAATATTGACAAAGTATTTAGCTTTACCTCTTCTTTCAGGTGATTGATCCGAGTCGACTTCAAGTTTGATCGGTTTTTGACTTGTTTTCCCTGAAATTTTCACTGTATGAAAAATGAACATTCAAAGTATAAATGCACTACGAAGTACGGAAGAACAAACTATGATAAGATCGGCAAGTGGATTTAGCACGGAGAAAAGGTTTGACTACGGCAACAGTAAAATGATGTACATGCATCACATAGTATTTTGTGTGATCTGCGCCTGAGAGACCCGTTACACTTCGCTCAAAAA